ATCGACCTGACACAGATCAGTGTAGGGATATGAGGAAGAAAGGAAAGGTACATGTAAAAATTTTAAGGGTAGAGTTACTTAAGGAATCCCAAGCTAGCATTTTGGTAACCACATGGTAGTTGACAAATTGTCGTGGCCATGAGTATCCAAATGCCGTCGAGATCTCTTAAAGAGCCCTAACCCTACGCAAAAGGGGAGGAAGACATCAGAACGACGTCTCCCAAACAAAGCTGGAAGAGATACACCCTCAGTGGGGGCGCAAAGGGGTAATCTTCTGATAAATGAATGGTAAGATAGGTCACAAAAAGTAGTAGAAGAACTGATCTTCTGTGGGAAGATCAAAGTTCTCAAAGTAGTGATGCTAATATCCGAGGCAAGGTATACCACATCACTACTAGTAAAGCAGCTCTAGGTAGTAAAGGGGACACCCTCACTACCTGAGGATAATAACCATAAATTAAGATCGAACAAAGATTAAAGGGTCACAGTGGTAACACCTACCCTAATTGGGTAGGACCCTGTGAGGAGCAAGAATAACATAATAACATTCATAGAGCTACTCTAGCAGATAAGAGTAGAGTACGAATGCTAAAGTGAGTAAGGAAACCAAAGAGTTGATCTTCCACTAGAAAATCAAAACTCCTAAGGATGCAATGCTAACATCTGAGGCAAGATGTACTACATTGCAACTAAGGAAACAACTCCAGGTAGTAAGGGGACACACTCACTACCTGAGGACAGTAATCATGAATAATGTTGATAACACATCAAAGGGCCACGGTGGTAACACCTACCCTAATTGGGTTGGACCCTATGGGGAGTAAAAGCAGCACTACCACCTTCATAGAACTACTCCAGCAGCTATAAGTACAGTTTGAATGGTGAGGTAGGTATAGAATAAAACTAAGGAGACGATCTTCTACTAGAAAATCAGGACTCCTGAGGATGTGATGCTAATATCTGAAACATGATGTACTACATCGCAACCAAGAAATAACTCTGAGGTGACAAGGGAGTACACCTAACACCTAGTACAGTAATCATGAGTGAAATCCATGACCATCAGAAGGTCACAGTGGTAACACCTACCCTAATCGGGTAGGACCCTGTGCCGAGTAAAAGTGACACCATCACATTAAGAGAACCACTCTGGCAGCTCAGAGTAGTGCATGAATGGGAGAGTAAACTGCCAAAAGAGGGCAGAAGGGGATTGGTCCTTCCTCAGAAAGACCCAAGCCCATAAGGTAGTGATGTTAACATTCAAAACACAATGTACTACATCACTTAGCAAAGATAATCAAAGTTGGGAAAAATTATACTTAGATATGTGTGCCTTCATCCTTGAGGAAGACACCAAGGCACCTCAAAGGAGAGGGAAGAAAAAGAACTTTGTGAAACTTATGCTCTTTAGAGAGCATTACCAGGCTTCTCCTGTGACAAGGACAACCGATTTTGCTCTACTAACAGCTTCCCTCTTTTCATCACATGTATATTTTTTCATTTTTGTAAAGGAAATTATGATTGGTTTTGATATCCCAGACCATGTTCGCCACATGAACAAAACTGGGGAGAGAGAAAATCACATAAGCTCTTGTAAGAAAGTAAATTATTGGTTTTGATAACCCAGACCACATTCAACTCATGTGAATGAACTGGGGAGCATAATCATATTGAAATCGATGTATAACTAAAATCAACATCAGGATAGAGGATCAGCATTACCACTCCTGACTAGGATAAGATGGTATGGACCCAATATCCTGCCTAAAAAAAGGTCTAAACCAATGATTTTGACAGCCACTATCATATTCATCTCATATGAATGGACTGAGGGCTACAACTATCAGAGCAGAACTGATAGGAAGAAGAGAATCCCATCCTACTAGAGGATCAACATCACCAAACCTAACCAATGCAGGAGGGTGTGGACCCAGTAACACATCTCTAAATAGTCTAAATGAATGATTTAAACATTCCCTATCACATTAATCTTATATAAATAGACTGGGGACTTCAACTATCAGAGTAGGGCTGACAGAAAGAAGAGAATCTCATAGGTGTAATGGATCACTATCATCCCACCTGACTAATATAGGTGGGCATGGTCCCAATATCCTATCTCAAAAGAGTCTAATCTAAAAGACTACAACATCCCCGATCAGATTCAACTCATGTGAATGGACTGGGGGCTTCAACTATCAGAACAGGACTGATAGGAAGAAGCAATTCACTTTCTAATAAAGGATCAACATCACCGATCCTAACAAATACAGGATGGTGTGGACTCAGACAAAAGTGATAAATGAGCAAATATCTTAAAGGAGTTTAGTACTTAACTCCCTCTAATCTTAAAAAGAACCTCAATTTAAATTTACTGACTCAGATCAAGCTCCATACTAGCTAAATCATGACATCTCACTTATATGAGTATTTTTCTCTCTTGAATCAAAATCTAATCCAAAAAGAAATTTAATTTTCTTTATTTCTTGTATGAGAGTAGACTTATATATCTTATAGGATATCAATGTATAATAATGATTTCAAAATCATAATTTTTAGACTCAAGTATCAAAAATATCAAAAGGATATAGATTTTCTGAGATTTAGATATTTACTAGAAAGGGAAGCCATTTACTTATAACTTTTGAGCTCTTTGAGCCACTTTCTCAACTTTCATGTGCTTTGCACAAATTTCAATTACTTGACACACTTTGTGTATCTTTCACTTTTGGCGCTTTGCGCATCTTTTCATTTTTGTAATTGGCTTCCTTTTCTGAATCTCTAAAAGAAAATTATTTCTCAGTTGTAAGATCATCTTCCAAGTGCAAGAGAAGAAGACTTACTTCTCTTGGACAAGGAAGAATGATCTACAAAATAAATCCTATCCTCTGATAAGAATGAATAGCTTGATTAAGAAAATTATGAAGTTTTATTCATTAATATACTATAGTTATCTATAAGATAGAGAATCACAAGATAATAGAGAAAATTTTTACTTCTAAATCTAATTTCAATTTGAAAAAGATTTTAATTCAAAAGAAGAAAACTCTCCACCCATGGGATGGGATAGAGAGATCATATCCTTTTATGAGTCATCACTACAAAGCTAGTAGAACTAAAAGAAGTGAGAGAGTCATTATAATAAAAAATAATCTTATTTTCTTTTATTGATTAATCATTAATAGAAGGGAGAACGAGGTCCTTCAGCCTAAGTGCTGGAAGGGGGCCTATCTTCCCTTCTGAGGTTACAACTATTTTTTTTTTCTTTTACATATCTCTCTTAGTACAAATAAAAGTCAAAGGAAAATGTGCTCATCTAGCACTACAATAGAAGAAAGAAAAGAAAGATAAGTGCTAATAAAGAAGCTGGAGTGGCAACTGTGGATTCAGCCTTGGGAGGCCTCATCTCAACTGCCTCTGAACTCTGTACAACTTACTTAATCATCTGCTAGGTCTTCTTGGGGAGTGCTAGCTGCCACTCTCCTTCAGAACTATGGAGTAATCTGCCACTACTGCCCTGACTGTAACTCTGACTATCACTGTGGCTGGAACTGTGACTAGGACTGTGGCTGGGACTAGAGTTCATCTGAACTATCTGAGTAGCCTTGTCCAAAGGCTGTACCAAATCACTGTCCTGGAGATGGGTCTTTCCAGTGGCCATCTGAGTCAGTAAGTGTAAGACTGTGGTGTCCGTAGCTACTGATCTCGGAGACCCTCCTGCCTCGGGGTCTTCCCGCTCATCCTGGTCCTTGGGCTCTCTCTGCTCATCCAAGTGACCTCGACGAGTAGTCTCACAAACCTGGTGTACTGGTATATCCTCATCTGACTCATCCTTGAATGAGTCATTTTCTGAAAAGATCCGACAGAGTGCCTCTATATAGGGACTCATAGGGGAAGTGATCCTATGAGTGTCGAGAGCTAAAGGTGTCTCAACTCGATCTAGTGACCCAACAGGAGTAACTACTGCATCCTCATCACAAGTCATCAGGATCGCTTCGGACAAACTGTTACATCCATCTGATCTACTGCATCAACCTGCTGCACTGCCTCTACCAACTACACTGTCTCATCTGGTCATGCTGCCTCGACTAACTGTACTGACTGTACTAGCCCGACTGGTCGTACTGACTCGACTAACTGTACTGACTGTACTAGCCCGACTGGTCGTACTATCTCGACTAACTGTACTGGCTGTACTAGCCCGACTGGTTGTACTGTCTCTACTGACTGTACTGGCTCTACTAGTCGTACTGTCTCTAATGGCTGTATTGACTGTACTAGCCATACTGTCTCCACTGACTGTATTGGCTCAACAAGGGTGTCCTCCTATCAACGTTCCAAACTTGTCTACTGCGACGGGGCTCTACATGGGTAACTGGCTGCTCTGGGGCTACCACTACTGAACTGACCTGAGGCCGGGCAGGCTCCTGCTACTGTCTCTGTCCTCGACGACGTGGGCGTTGTCCTACCACAGGAGCAACTCCTGGCGGCCTAACTGTTGGAACTGTCTGTGCTGGCTGCTGCGGTGTCTGCTCCCTCTGCCAATTGTAAAGTCTCCTCACAGTCTGTCGTCTCAACTGGAAGGTAGCCAGAGAAATCTTACGGAGTAAGCCCTCTCGACTGACGGGCCCTCTGCCACGAGCTAAGCGGACGATGTTCCGAATCCTCTGAGTGAGGGCTCGGACACCAGCGTCCCTGGGTAACCTAGCTCGGGGTAGAGTAGTGGCGACAGAAGGAGCCACCGCTATACGGGCAACATCCTCCTCATCTCCACTATGCGTCAGTGGGGAGAAGCATCCTCCCTGAACTGCCTCCAACTCGGGGGCTACCATCACCTCTGGAGTAGGTGCAACAATAATTGGACGTGGCCTCCGCTGCCTGGGAGCCACTCTCCTCTGCCTCTGAACTAACTCATCTTGAACGATGGCATCAACCATCCTCTGCCTCTCTATCTCTGATGCAGCTAGACGCAACCTCATATTCCTATTCCTTCGGGCCCTTCACCCAAGGCCGGAGGTGGAGGTGGAGGGGACATCTGAACCCACTGCCTGGGTGGCAGGGGGAATAGGAACAACTGAAAGTGCCGGGATCTGCCCAGCAACCTCAGGGTGAGAAAGTCAGGCAAAAATAGAAACTCGACCGAAAGTGGGTGAAGGCACCTCGGTCTGGGCACCCCTCTTCCTAGTAGAAGTGGGAGAGGGAACCTGAATGCGAGGTACTTCTACTGGAACAACGGGAGTAACAACAGCAGCAGGCTGCCGGCGTTGAGAGGCCGGGGCAGCCTGTGCAACAGGAGCGGCAGGCGCAGGTCGCCTGACCGCTGCACGAACAGGTGGAACAACTGCAGCAGGCTGCCGGCGCAGAGGGGCCGGGGCAACCTGAGCAACAGGAGAGGCAGGCGCAGGTCGCCTGACCGCTGCACGAAGTGGAACAGGATGTGGCCTAGGCACTGGTCGCCTAGCCATGGTGCACACTGGCTGCGCAAGTACAGGAATGGGACGAGCAGGTGCTCGGGCTATCTGCCGAGCATCTGGTTGTCCGAAAGGGCGCATGGCTACGCGTCTTCTCCTCCGAGGAGGAGAGAATGCAGCAGCCTCCGCCGGGGTCGGCTTACCAAGAGTGACGAAGGTCAAGTCAGTGAAGGAACCAAAAGTGATTCCTCCCACTGGCGGACTAGCGAGCAGGGACTCAGGAGAGTCACCCGCACGTCTGAACCGAAAGCAAAGGTAATGAAAGGAGCAAAGGAAGCCATGGCACTACTGCCAAGAAAACAAATTTGAGAGGTTAGAAATCAGAATGAAAATCAGGAAAGAAGGATTTGATAAGGATAGATGGGAATGGATAAGGGACGGAATAGCCTGTTAGGCTGGAAAGAAGTAGAGTAGGGAGGAAACCCTAGCTAAAGGGGAGGAACCCTAACTAAGGAAAGGCCCTAACTAAGAGTGGGACAGACCTAATCTAAGGAGTACCAATCTCGGAGTACACACCAGAAAGGATAATATACAATCCAAAGATAGAGAGAGAAACTGGTCCCACCGTGGTCGCCAGAAACTTGTTGACCTCCGAAAGAGCACCGCATGAACGGGTCAATTGGAAGGGACAGATTGGATCGTGCATACGACTAACCATTGAGGATAGAGGCTGTCGCCAACACACCCTGATGGATAGCAATATACATGACCTAGTCACGGGTTTCCCCCATCCGATACAAGAGCTCGAATGGGGTTAGTAGATGTGGGATCGAGTTTCCCACAGGCGCAAGCCCCCGTGGTTAATTACATCCCAGGCCGAAGCCTGAGAAAACTCTCGATTAAGGATCATACATTATCCTCTCCTAAAGTGGGATCGGCACGAGGGTACAGACAAGGAAATCCTACTCAAAAGGGAAGAAAGGTCCGAAGGGCTGAATCAACATGCGTGGCTCATACCAGCATTCGGAGGTTCTAGGGCACTAAAGAAAAACTAGAGAAAGAAAGACAAGCAATCGATCACATGCGTGAGAGAAGAGATGGAGGTGGCGTCATCCTGTAACGCGGATAAGTAGGATTTATAGTCCCTGAAAGGAAGGGACCTACCTACTATTTAAGACATACTACGAGACCGAATGTAGTAGCCTCGAATCCTAAATCTTGGTTGGGCTTAGTGCTCTACGAAACACCAAGACTCGTGTCCTAGCTAATGCAGTGCAAAACCTAGACTTACCCCGGCCTGGATTGGGGAGCCAGCTAACCACCTAATCGCTTTAAAACTATGAAAACAAGTCAATTATGAAAGATGGGTGGGAGGTACAGTTCTTTGGAAATAGGACCGACATCTAGAGATTTCCTAAGTGGTCCTAGACTTATGTGGGTCAGATGCTCCTAGCTGATGCAATTAAATTTTATTTAATTGGTTACTAATGCAATGCATGCTACTTGAAATGTCAGCTCATGAATGCTATTGAATTTTAAAAATAGGCTTATAGAAAATAATTTTTTTGAAAAGACTGGGTCTCCCTAGGTCCGGCACTTTATCCTCATAGGCCAGATTATCCGTACTCTACCCGCAGGCAGGGAGATGTCTTATAGCAAGGAAAGAAGAAATGCAATAATATGCATGCGACCCCGGACGATTCCGGCAGTTCCCTAAATTTGTTAAGTTTCTATATTATTTAAACTTAAATTTTTTAGAAATTACTTATGAGTATAAAATATTTTATAGTCCTTAGAAGAGCCTAACGGATTCCAGACGATAACAAAATAAATCATCTAAATGTCCATAGGAAAAGCAGGTATTTCTACTGCACAACCAGGAAAGCACATCAATATAAATCCCAAAATAAATCATCTAAATGTCCATAGGAAAACTGCCCTTATTACAACCAAAATTTGTAGAAAATAAAGTGGCCGGGCACCACTGCCAACAACCCGGATTTCTAAGCCTATGACAGACGCCAACAACTTTGAGTGGGATATTGGGTCTTCAATCTTTAGCTTTCTGGATGTCTTCTCCTTGGGTTCCTTGGATCACACCTCTTTGGGCTCCTTGAATCTCACCTCCTTGGGCTCCTTGGATCTCTCCTCCTTGGACTTCTTGGATCCGTCGTGGCTTGAATATCCAAACGAAGAGATAATTCTCCCCAGCAGGGGTGTATTGTCTTTTCTCTTTGGATATCTAAAGCCATCCAACTCAGTCTTCCGAATGGAAGAAGACTCTCCCCTTTAGGGATGCCTTCTTCTTTTTGAATCCGAGCTAGATAAGAATATCCCAACTCAAAGTTATTTTCACAACTCTTAACAATTATTACAAATTTTTACATCAAATATAAAACAGAAAAATTCTAAAAGACCTGCATGATTATCCTAATAAAAATCATCCCAAGCAGTTTATATGAAAATGAAAGTGCTAACACCATTGACCCTGTGCCAAGCCATGCTCTTAATTTTGAGGGCTAAGTGCTCCACCTGTGCAGTTATAATTAATTTAGCCCTCATTTTATTTATGGGGAGTTGAGCAAGCACCTGCATAAAATATTATTAGAAATCATGACATTGCTCCCCCTTTCATTAATTTAAGCTTGGCACCTGCACGGAAGAACAGTGTATATATATATCATTCCTAACCTAGGGGTAGATCTATCGCTCATCAGATCATCCACAGAGTGCAGAAAAAGTAATAAAACACACCAGCAATTTCAAACAGCATGCAATAAAGACCGCGGAAAGCTCCGGCACACAGCAGAAAAATAAAACCCAGCAGCCTAACCTAGGTCTAGAAGTGGTGCCCTAGCAAACAATTCTATGTGTGTGTAAGGCTGGTGTGGTTTGGATAGGTCATAAGAAGGGTAGTTAGTTAAAGTTATCTAGAGTTCAGGTTTGTTGGGGGTCTGAAAAAGATATTTTAGTTGAAATTTAAATATTAGTATATTAGGGTCCATTTTAATTATTTAAGTTTGTTGATCAGTTTTAAGAGCTTAGGGTGATGATATTTGAAGTTAAAGTTATATTAGCCAATTTTGGAAAGTCCCGGGTCCTCCTAGTAACTAGACTAAGGGTCCAAAACATCACTATGGGAAAAAGGCAAAGTTTGGGTCTCCTAACACCCTGGGAAAATACTAGACCTTAAGAGGAGTAGTTAGCGAGGTAGTACACTAAAATCAGAGTTTTCTAGACAAAGTTACGAATTTTCTAAGTTTCGGGCCCTAAATGAACTATGGTTTACCAAAACGTTGACTTTCTAATCTAGGCAAGTTCCTGGAAACCTAAGATTTTTAATAAATACTAGATCCTAATTGGAGTCTAATGCAAGTGAGTTTTCATAATTTAGAATTTTCTACAATTAGTTATGAATTTCTAAAGATCGGGTAATTAAGGGAATTTCTAAATTTCCCAATAAAGGGCCTTTTTTATTGTTTTGATCCAAATCAACTCCAAACAGATTGGAATCACCCCCAAAGGTCCGGAATAACCTAAGAAAGTGTTCCCAAGCTTTTCGAGAAAATTTTGGATTTTTAATAATTTTTAATGAATTATCAGTGGCAAAATGGTAAATTCCACCTATGGTCAAATTAGGGGTCAACCTGAAGTCAAACTAGGGATCCTTAATTATCTAAGGTCAAAGATCAGATTCTAGTCAGTTCAAGGTATTATGGATAATTTTCTGACCTAATTTGTATTTATTATAATTTTTGGAAGGTCTCAGGGCCTTATTTAATAGATAATTATGGTTGGTTAATTAAGGGGTCTAACAAGCCCTAAAAATTCCTAGAAAATTATGAGAAGCTTATGATGTCACTAAGTTTAAGTTTTGATATTTTCATGTCAATTCGGGATCTATCCTAGCTTCTAGAAAACTTCTAAATTTGCTAGACGGGTCCTTAGTTATTGTCCCTAGAGTGTCACTGCGTTATAGGAGTTAAGAGTGATGTTTTATCTAACCCTCAAGGTAATAAATGCAGGGTAATACATAAACAAAATAAACACGCCATGTCCTTAAATCTAGGAGAGCCTAAGCTAAGTGCTCGTGGTGCAACCTACACATGCATGCTACGAACAACAAGAAAATTAAAACACCTAATGAGGGGATTAGTGAATGGTTGGGACTCAACCATCCACCCCCCCATGATTGCTCTTCACACATATGATCCATGTCTAAAATTTCATGAAATAGTGGACCTCCCAAAATTAGGATTTAAGTATAAGTAGTTTTAAAATAATTTAAAAGTACTTATAGATATAAACATATTTTTGGAAGATAAAATAATTGAAAATAATTTAATTCATAATACATAAGTATAGGGAGACCCACTGACCACCCTAACGAAGTCTCAAACGATTTGAAAATAGTTTGTATCCTAAAAATAGTTATTATAATCAATGTTCAATATCAAAAATATCTAAATAATCAAATTCAAACAGTGATCTACTAAAACAGCCAAAATCAGTGACTGAAAATAATTTTAAAATGTAAAGCTCATTTTTTTGAAACGATCGAGGGGTTGCACGTCAAAATCTGATTTAAAACGACGAAGATATGATTTTCCGAAGTTTAAATACCTAAGTAGAATACTTTTAAAATAGTACTATTTTGTTGTTTTAAAAATAACTGCAGGTATAACTAGAATTTTTAAACAAGAGAGATCTCACATTGTACAGAATTCAAATACGAACAAAATAAGGTGTTGTGCATCGAAAACAGATTTAAAACGAGAAAATTGTGCATTTTCAAAGTTTAAATACGATAATAGAATATTTTTAAAATAGTGTTCTTTTGCTGTTTTCATAATAACTGTAGCTATGCCTATCATTTTGAAACAAAAATAATTCCAAATCGTGCAGAATTCAAATACGATCAAAACAAGGTATTGTGCGTCGAAAACGGATCAAAAACGAAAAAGTTATGAATTTTTAAAGTTTAAAGTAATAAAGGGACTTAAAAATAATTTAAAATAGCAAGAATTTAAAAATAATTATTAAAATATGATAAAATAATATTTTATGAAAGTAATTTAATGGATGTTTGAATTTTGAAATTCAAAATTCATGGACGGAATAAAGAATTTCAAATTCAAAAT